CGTTACTACTGATGACAATTCACAATACAATTAGCCATGGTTAAATGTTTCTGTTATCCCGATAAAGACAGGAACTAAGACAGCTAGCTGCTGTCAGAAAACCAATGCGACTGGTAAAAGAATATTTTTCATATTAATGAAAAACAATGTAGTCATAAAAGGAAAGTCTCAAAATTCAGGAATACAAAAAAATTGTTCTATGGAGTTTAACCGTTCAGCTTTTTCTAGAATTTTGTTTGAACTTTATGAAATAACCTAAACAACATTCATTTAAATATTTAGCAAGAAAAGCCAATCTTTGCCACAGGAGAGGTCCCTACTGTAAGAAATCTGACCGGAAAGTTCCCTGATGTCCTTTGAATTTTACTTCCCTCCTTCGCAGTAATCCTAACACACTTCTTACAAATATTTTAACGTTTAATTTAAAAGACAAAAAGACAGATGCTCCTTTATGGGATTACTTGCATGAGTAATCTTTAGCATAACTGAGGCTGAATATTGTTAGAATATTTTTATTTTTAGCTGAGAAAGCATATTTATTTTCAGAGATGAAGTTGAAAGACTATGCTGAGCCTGACAGATGCATTGCAAACTTAACCGCTAATTATAACGAAAATCTGAAACGTCCTATAGGAAGGTGACAAGTTCTTAATTTACTGAACAATCCTTTTTATATAAAACCTCTCTCTTCTGGCAAATTAGCTCAAAGATGTTTAGATTTTGTACTTGAGTGAGTTAGGAGCCATGTTATTTGTGAGCCTAACAGAGACCAGAATCGCATATAACCAGATTTCCTGCAATTCAGGCAGCAATACACAGCCCACACTGCTTCACACACTCATTCAGCCTTAGCTGTTTTAGATCAAAGTTTTAGCAAGTATTAAGGAAAGATGAAAAACCCATACATACCTTTTATATTTGATGTCTCACACTGCAGTTGTAATAAATACTAGGTAATTACTAACAAACCTTCTAGAGAGGACAATTTTTAATACAAAGCTTTCAAATATTTATGGTAGTCCTGCTCTTTATCAGGAGTGCTTCCTACCTTCTGCACTCTCAGGCCTTAAACTAAATCATCTGGTGCATATTTTTCTTTTGCTTGGTACCAGCAGCACTCACAGCTGCACTGATAAGGGGTTACTTGCTTTACTGAAGCGTATTTACTCCGAGAACTGTAGTTCAACCTGAAACACATTCACTACAATGGATTTAAATTAACTTTTGTGAATTTATCTCATCTCACAGGACCATAAGGTAGGGTGACTCTTGTGTGAGTGTGCTTGAGACTTGACCTGAGGCACTCGCCACTGTTTCAGACCATTACTTCTCTGCCATATTCCACACTAATGTGTTCCCGCTATTTATTTTGGGGAAGCTTGGGCAGCTTAGCGGTGATCTCTGTAGATCACTGACAGTAACTCACGCCAGCAGAGAAAGCGCCAGGTCGGGGCAAGGAGCTGGCTGATCTGGGTGGAAAGTCTCACATTGCAGCAGCTGCCTCTGCCTTATCTGGCTTGTGAATAAAGGGCTTGTTTTCTATCCTGGCTTTCAATTAAATTTCGGTAAACACAAACATTTACCGAAACATTTAAAACAATTTATCTGACTCCTGAATGAACGGTTGTTTGCTCTGGAACAGAGTCAAAGCCTGAAGCTCTATTCAGAGAAAATTTTAAATGATCAGCGAACGATGGAAATTTCGGTCTCCGTTTCTGATCTTTGCAATGTCAGCAGTTCAGATTTTCAAAGTTAAAAAACCAGCGCCCAAGGTACTACAAGACTTCAATGTTTTTTTTCACCTCCGTTCTTCTCTTAAGGATCAGAACTGAGGGCTGGGAATGCCTGCATTAAGGATATCACAACCCGATGGCCAAGCAGGAGTTCATCGGATACAAAACCTGATCTTAAAATGCTTTTCCTCCCTTTAGAGCCCGCTTTATAGAGGTGCTGACACTCTATAAAGTGTGTCACACTTTCACACTGCAGTTTCTGAGAGAAAATGCACACTGCCCTCAGCTTTTCAAGGGAGCAGGCCAGTGTTGGCAGCTATTGACCAAGATGCCAAGATGGCCTGGAAAGGTTCCCAGTTGCCCACAACACCTTCCAAAAGATGGGAAGCAAGGAACATCATGGTTGAGAAAAGCACAATTAGCCCTTCATACCCCCATTTCAAAAGATGTACATCCTTCCTCAGGCAAACCTGTCTGTCCTAATAAAACAGAGGAGTTAACATTTACAGCTTTTCCAGTCCATTTTGTAAGTCTGTAACTGCTGTCAACTTCTCAGGCTCTTCAGCAATGAGCTCCACATTGTGGAGCAATCAGCAGTTTTGTATTTTCCTAGCTGTTGATCTGAGGCATGATGGAAGAAGAGAAGTAAAAGCTTCTTGTATCCTGCCCCCTGCTTTCACGTATCGGCTCACAGTCAGGCACACCTCATCCCAGATGACTTGGGTTTAATACTGTGATCAATATAGAAACTATTTAACACGCTAAATCTAAGCTTATGCTTCAAATAGTCCCCTGTAAAAAAGCAATGCTTTATGGTGAGTTTTCAATCAAAAAAAAAAGAAAAAAAATATTAGGGAAGAGTTGCAAAAGGTATGAGGCCAGCAACCAGGCCAGCCATCAGTTGTGTGCTGAAGGGCCACACTAGCTCATGCTCAGAGGTAAAACTGGCTGCTTATTTTCTTCGCACGCAGCTAGATCAGGCAATTGATTTAGCAGACTTCTGAAGCTACCATTCCACAAAATCCATTACCCGAGTTTTAAAACATATGCCAGCAGATTTCCTTGCACCACTGAGGAAAAGATTAAAATGCAGTCATGCAATATATTATGTGGTTGGATAGCACAAGTCTTAAAAATGCTTAACATTCGGAATGAGTGGCTTTTGTTAAAATGAATTTCAGTGGCGGGTGGCCTATACGTTACTGTGACAGGAGCAACCGTCCTCTTTGAGCAGCGCAAGTGACAGCCAAAGTCTGCCAAGGAGGGATGGAGGACAGATTCCAAAAACATTTCCAGGCTTCTAACACTGAATTACCAACAGAGAAGATCAAAACAAAAAAGCAAAAATAGTTTTTATAAAGGATGCTGATGGTGCCTCAGACCGACAAACTGCCTTTTGAACAAAATGACTACTGACCTTAGACGGCCACTTTTTATTTCCTTTTCATTATTGCTTGTGTACTGATCTGTGTATGTGTAAATATGTGCGTGTGCATATAAATAATTAATTTCTTAAAGAACATCCCAACGCAAACAAAAATGCAAGGTGATTTCTTTCTATTAGCTTTTAAACCAACACAAACAACAGGAATTAGATCTATTCATTTCAGTTCTGCTTGAAGTAAAATTTTACTGGCTGTACACATCACATCTTAAACTGCACAGGCAGTACTGAATTAATACCAGCTTTTACAGAGTCAGTCAGTCATGAGAGGTGCCAATCACTGCACGTTCCACTTCAGATGAGAAGCAGAGGCACTCAGAGTGAAGTACAGACTGTACCACTTATTTTTAACATTTTCAAAAAAGAAAACATGACAGCGCTAACAAAATAATAATGTAGTAAAAAACCCACCCACATTCATTCCTGCAACCCCCCTGTCCCATTCACAGATGAGGAAACAGAAGTCCATGCACACAGCACCCAAAGCTGTTGGACCGCCTTCCAACTCTGCACACCAGGTCAAAACCTGCTCAGCTGATACAGGGACCTCTTCGGTATCTCTAGACAAATAAGAAACCCTTTGCAACATTATTGAAATGAGTTTATATCTGTATAGCAGATGTCATTAAAGTTTAAGGCTATACTTAGTTACATGGATACCCCCCTCCTTCAATTATTCATAATTTATAAGTTTATCTGTTCACAGGGCTTTGCATGACAAACAACAGTAGTAAAGTACAAAAGAAATCAGCCGTGTCACACGGGAAAAAACCCAGCCCTCCATGGATCCATCTGACCTCAGCTAGGACTGAAATGTGTTGTGTGGCAGTCGTTCAGAGCTGTGCTCTCCATGGCTCATCCACACCACATCTCATACTCTACTGCCCCTCCAAAACACTGTCAAAACATCCTCTCTCTTTGCTCTCCAGAAGCCACAGCCCTCTCTTGTTTTGATGTTACGTCTGGCCTGCAACATCTCATAGCAGACCATCAAGCTGTCCTGTCATTGCTGTGTCATTGAACTCTCTGCAGGTTCAAGTGCGGCTGACGGCTCAGTCCAATCAAACTGGATCTCCATTATAGAGAGGGTAAGAATTAATTCCACCTTTTTGTCTTCTTAGGGAGGTGTCGGTGTGCGTGCAAAGAGAACAGCATGAAACAACCCGACCACCTCCCTAGCTTCTGTGTTTCTCATTCAGCATTTGTAGAACGCCTACTGCCACGGGACCTCGGTCTGTGACGAAGGCTGACAGGCGTTATGACAGTTCAGCAGTTGCGCAAAATTAAAACTTATTATGAACAGCTTATCCAGTATTATTGCCACCTTCTTAATCCAAAAAAGGCAACAAAACCAAACCAAGAACTGAGATCAGAGCCCTGGTATAAAGAACACTGTGCACAACTTACCAGCAAGAACATTAGAGGCTTGGGCTCACTGAATTGCTCCATTTCCCAATTTTCCTCTGAGGCTGCACAGTTACAGGCATCATTTCAACCTAAAAATCTGTCTGAATATTCACAGTGATAAATATGGGCAGAATTATTATGCCTAATCACTATACAGTACAAATCCAACCGTATTTCAACGGTGGCAATCTGGGACTTGCTGTCAGCGTATACAAGATCAAACTGGATCACTGAATTCATCAGCAACACTACATACTAAAGCTGACCAAACTAAGGTCCAGGCAAGACAAAGAGAGAGGAAAAAATGCAAGATGGAAGATGCCTCAGTCTCCCACTTTCCAAGCATCCAGTTTGAACATCAGCATTACGTAACGATGCTGGGAAATCGGTAATCAGAGCCTTTTATTTAAACATACCAGATATCTTTCCTCCTGCCTCATGCTGGGGGTACGGATCATGTGATTCTGTTCTCCTCTCCAGTCTCCGAAACGTCGAAAAAAATAATTGGATAAAAATCGATTGACAGGATCTCTAATAATATTGATGTACACCGGCTGGTCTCCTCCAAACCTGTGGGAAGAAAAATGGGTGAATCTCATCAGAAGGTTTCACACAGGCACATGTATCTGCCTTTCACCTGAATGTTTTCAGGTTATTCTCTACAGAAGTTCAGAGCTTTTACAAGTGAAACTGAGAAGCTTACAAGTAGTTACCAAAACTTTGTAAAAGCAGGCAAGTTCTTTTTAGGATGAACATTTAGGATGAACATTTAGGATATCACATTAAGCTACACGTGTACTACAAACATTTTAGTTTGAGACCATTTTTTCCACGGTGTCAATAGTTTTGCCTCTTGAGTCTTCTCCTTGCTGTTTTCAGATGAAGAACCTTCTGCAGCTGAATCTGAGGATGAGCATTTCTTCTTCGAAACACTCGCTTCCCGTCTGGGAAGTCATGTCAGAGCAGGCACCGCCTAACACTAACTGCCATAAGGCAACCTTGGATCACCTTCACCTGTACAGTAAGAGTAGTAACGTGCAAAGGATTTTGCAACATTCAAGCTTATTTCAAAAAACTTCCTTTGGATGAACTGACAGATATGCATGGTATTTCCATCTTTATATTTGCTGGAACTTGTGCAGATCTTCCTCCCCTCACCCCTAGCCTGCACCACCGGCTGGATTTGAGGTTATTTAGTGGTTATGCAATGCCTTACCCTTGTACTGCACTTCATGAAGATTATTTTTTAAAAAGTCAATATGAAAATTCCTGCTTCAAGAAAGAAATTAAATATCAATTTCAAGTACACCCAAGTCCAAGGAAAAGGAAAGGGTAAAACCAGCTGTGACCAGGCTCTGCACAAAAGCAAAATGCAGCATAGGTACCTGCAATTTAGAGATGAGACGATAAACCAGAGTAACCTCATCAGCTCAACGTTACCTTCTTGTATGCCTCCTCCTGGTAGTTAACAATAAACATCCTCAGTTTAATAGATGGGATACAAAAAGAGGAAAGGAGGAAAAGGGAGCTTGAGAAGGTCTGTGATTATACTGTATTTTCACAGTGTTAAAATATTGACTGCGTATTTTACATCAATACACAGCATCAGGAGAACAGGCCTAACTGGAAGAAAAAAAAAAAGTAAGTTGCTTACACTCTTCTGTGGTCAAAATTGAAGAATGGACATTAATGCTATGGAACAGACTTCTGGACTACAAATGCTGTGAGATAAAGAACAAAAGAAAACCTTTCCAGACTGAGAAGTTCATAGGATAAATTCAACTTGGTATTTGCCTGATTGAAAAACATGAATTATGTTTCTCCCTTCTGTTTCCCCAATTTAGGAGAACAATTGTCACTTAAGCACTAGCTTATGCTTTATTTTTGGGAGCCTGAGCACGTAGCCATATTTAAGTATTTAAATGCTGCTCTGATGATTTTCTGAGTCGCTGCTCTGATGATTTTCTGAGTAACAATTTATATATTTTCTTTTAAAATGTAAAATATTAGCTTAAAAGAGAGAAAACTGAAGACACCCTTTAGAGTAAAAAAAATTCTCTCGGCTTCTCTTTATCTTTTGAGTCAGATGAATAATTGAATATGTATAATAAAAGACCAGGGCTCCTCATAAATATTAAAGAGCCAGCAAAATTGTTTAAAAATATGAATTCTAGTAAAAGACAAGAGAAAAATCCCACACAGTTTCAACCTGAGTTTTATTCTGCATGATTCCCCAGACCACTAAATACACTCTGCAAAGGCTTGTCTCGTGAATAACTATGCATATCAGTAATCTCATTGACCTCAATGTCACAGGATCACTGCCATAATTTGAAATTGTACAGACAGCATAAAACTTTAAAACAATCCAATTAAGAAGGCAGATGCTCCTTGCTTCCTGATTAGTGCATAGCCCAGTTTGGACATGGGTGTGCAAGGGAAGTATCCTGAATTCTTCTTTGAGCTTGTCTTTGCTACTTTTTGTCTTTATACAGAAATAAAACCTACGTTAAAAAAAGGCATTCCTGCAAATACCATAGGACAATGAGGGCATTACACTTCGACAATATTTATTCAAATAGAAAGCTTTTGGTGAATGCCATGGCTGGTAGCCATGAAAACTGAATTTTTCAAGTGAAATTGCTGGCAAGAATAGGTTGCACCTAAATTACTGAACACACTATCTTCCTGCTACTTGATGCAGATCAGCAATGATCTAAAGACAGAAGGGAGTGGAGAAGAGCAAAGAAAAGGGGAAGCAATGAAGAAAGCAAGAAGCAGTAACAGCAGCAGCAAGTTGTCTTAAGATAGAGACAGAAAGACTACAAGATTCAGAAAAGCAAGAGAGCAGGGATAGCCTGCCTGGGTTTTGCAGAGGATGTTAAGCCTAAATGCTCCTCAGAAGAGAGAAAAATCAAAAGCAGGCAGCTATTAGTTGTCTAGATGGAAATATTCAACACACATTGTCTTTTCTGAAGGAAAAGGAGGGGTTGGATTGCATAACCAACCCACCAAAGTGTCAGAGCCCGTCCTTTTGCTGGTAAGGTCATGTCCCTGAACACGTGAATTGTAAATTCAGTACCAACAGCTCTGAGAGAAGAGGCACATGCAAGCTCATCCATCCCAAGAGGACAGCTGAGATGAGAGGTCACTCTTCCACAAAGAGCTACAGAGGAACTTCTCATTTCTGAAATGGAGACTGTGCCCCCTCCAAAACACAGGACAGCTCAAATTTCTGATTTGATTTCCTACACACTGTAACCAGCCTGGTCTACACCCAGCTGCAGTTGCTCCACCAGGCAACAAGTAGGGAATTTTTAGAAAAATTAAGCCTGTTCTGGCTCTTATTCAAATCTGCATTTTTTTTTAAACGTAGTTTATAATACTTCAAATTCCGACCATTTGTTTCTGTGGACTGTACTGAGACTTTTTTATGGAAGCTAAGAAGCACTCACATGGCATAAAAATTCCTACTGGTTAAAAATCAATAACCTTAAGCTATTTAGAGGAAAAAAAAAAAAGGGAAATCAATGCTTCATTTGTTCAAGTATGTTCTGCATATTTTTAGGTACCTATCAATCACAACATATTAAATATTACTTAGCTCTCCAGAGTGAAAGTTTTCAAATTAACACCACCCACATGAAAATGCTCTTGCAAACAATAACTTATTGTGCTCTCACTACACATCATGTCACCTTATTTATACTCAGATACCTATTGTGAAGGATTCAAAAAGGGACACAATCATATTTTTCTAGGCCTGAGCAGAAGGCTTACCTTCTTTTGAGTGCGATCAAGATTGGATCCTGCATGATAAAGGTACCTGATCATTCTCATGCCCAGCAGAACATCGCTGCAACTGAGTAGAGTGGGCCACGACACCACCACTCCAGCAGAGCACTGAAAATATATACACTGATCCTCTGCAGTGCTTTTCCTGTACTTAAGTTCTCCTGATTTATTTAGTATATATTATTAAATCCCATTAGTTTTAACTGCTCTGTTGTGACAGGTATATTTTTTGATTCCCCATCAAAACGGGGATAGCATAGTTGCAGGCTTCAATCAATGATACTTAGGTTCATTAATGATATATTCCCCCATCCCTTTTTTAATAAAAGGGAAAAAAAAGGCCTGAGAAGTATGCCAGATGTTGCAAGTCTGCCCCTTAGAAGAATGTCTCTTATGAATTCCAATTTTATTATTTACATGGGCAAAATCTTTGTTCAAAACCATTTACAAACCCCTTATGAATTAAAAAAAAGAAAAGGAAAAAAAATTCAACCCAAGTGATTTGCTTGGCTGTAAAATGGAGGATCTCTCAGCTCCTATTAGTTTTCATTTCAATTATTTTTAAGAAAGGTTCGGTATAAAGGTAGTCCCGTCATGTCAATTCAGGAGGCTTGCCGCATTTCCATTCAGCACAAAACTCTTTGCACAAGCAGAAGCAGGCTTCATCCCTGCAGGCAAACCACATTCCTCAAGGAAAAGACGACTCCCAACCTATTCTCTATAAGAACTTTGGCTGCCTCTTTTACTTTAATGTAAAACGTCTCCCCTTAAACAAATGAGTTGGTTGCTAGAAGTTCAATGTAACGGAAGCAAATAAGAACTGACAGTCACCTTATATTAATAGGGACAGGCATATTGTGTCCTTTTTAGAAAGGAAGCACAATTTCCTTTTACAGCTTCATACAACTGAGAATCACACGATGAGAGCACAATTGCCCAGCAAGCTTTACACACCAATTATGTTACGGCTCCATTACCTGCTCTGCAGCACAGCTTCACAGGGAGATCACGTAAAAGCACTAACGTACAACTTTCACCTTTTTAGGACTTAAATAAGATGCAGTTACATCAAAATCTATCTTCTGAAAAAGGTATCTTGAAATGAGAAGTTATTATAACATCTTGTATTAGCATGCACTTGCGGCAAAGCAACCCTATTCTGCACACAAGGCAGCAGGCACTTCTGGGATGCTCCAAGGACCCTCCTCAAGGACGAGCTGCTACATTTTCTGCAAAGATTCCCAGATGAGCGGGCTGAGGTTCTGCCTGCCTGGGACTACATAGTATTGCCAGCCTCCAAAATTAAGGAGTTTATCTTCTTGCTTTTGTCTGTAGTGCCTCACTTCCAGCTTTTGTGCCTCCACCCTACACTGTGGCCTTGTTTTCAAGCTTTTCTTGAGGTGTGTGTAGGGATCCAAAACGCCCAGGGGTTCAAGGTTAACAGTAAAATAGTGTAAACTGACAACACTCCGCTCATTAATTACCCTTTCTGGAGCTGTGATTTCAATAGTAGAAATTTCAGCTTCTGAAGTGATGTGTCAGGGTAATGTCATTGTAAAAATCACAACTGAGTCCTCTGAGAATTGCTCAGTAAACTGCCTCAGACCAGTGAATGGCTAAAAGATTACACTATAAAGCTTTATATTCCTCTATTTCGCTATCGTGCATATCTCCCAGAATATTTTATGTTGTATTTCTGTCAGTCCTTTACATTCACTCTTGCTGAACAATGAGGGTTTTTTTCCTATGCCTTTCATTATGCTGAAGATATCAAA